CCATGCCAGTCCACATGCTGTTCCTGTAACTTGGCATGCTCTTTCCCACCTCCTATAGTGACCTTTGCACAGTTTTAAGCAACACCTCCTCCAGGGAGTCTTCCCTGATTCCACCCTTATGTTCCCATTGCCTCTTTGCTTGCAACTCATTAGCAGTTGTACAGGCCATTATTACAGAGGAGGCTAGTGGGTACACATCCAGTTCTGTATTATAGCAATATTTCATTATTTAGATGTACGTTGAAGAAAGCAGGATAGCTACATCGTAGTCCTACTCTGTGCCATTTAGAAGTGGTATTAAACTCTTTAAAAACCTTACATACTCAGGAGTCTGGCCGCAATGCTTTAAAGATGCTGGCCACAATGCTTTAAAGATGCTTTAGGTACTTGCAATATAGGGCGAATGAATGTATTGGTTGGTTTCTGAGCAATGTCTGCCTGGGGCAGGGGGGCAGGAATGAGGGAGACATGAGTGAATTCTGCAGAAAATGGCAGATTGTTCATTAATGGAAATTGTCATGCGTAACCCATTTATTCTTACGCAGCAAGAGTTGTGTGGTGGAGTTTGTGTTGTCTCTGGGGAAGAAAGCTGGAAGAGGGCTTTTGAGGATGTTCATTAACTCATGGGTCTGTTTCTTTGGAGGAGAGTATAGGATTTCTTTTTTAGAAATCGAAACTGACTCCATTATGAGGTGGTTCTGATGGAATTTGACGGTCAGGAGGAAATGCTAATAGACAGTGTGGTATACTGGGTTAAGTGGATGGACCCGGGAGCCCCACAGCCTGCCACTCAGCAGCTATATAATCTCAGGCAAACCACTTAACCCCTGTTCCTCCATTTCCTCAGCTGTAATGATGCAATAATATTGCCCACCTGGTGGCATCACATGAGGATTGGTAAGTTAACCCTTGCCAAGCACTTAAACTGTGCTTGGTGCATAATAAGCACTCATTAACTAATGACTATGATTATGATGGCTAGTTAGAGTGTTGTAAGAGTTGGAGTCCACCGGTCAAGATGGGAACTATTGGGTTGTCGGAAAAGTCACGATGCATTTTTACAACGAAAAACAGAGAAGAAATACATCATGACTTTTCTGACAACCCAGTAACAAATGTTGGAGACACAGGACTTCTCTCCTAAGGCCCTTTTTAGTTTCGTGTTCCGATTTGGGTATTTCACAAGGGGTGAAGTTACTGGGCCCCAGCTCAGTACAGAGTAGTTGAGATGACTGTCCTATGGTGGGAGGCTGAAGTCTGTGACACTCCGGTACCTTGTGGAGAAGGCCACAGTGGATGGGTCTCCTCAATTCTTTGTTTCTCTTTGGCTCTGGCAGTTGGGCTTGGATCATGTGCTTGTGGCATTGTGGTAAAGCAGAAAGGGAATGGAATTTGGAATAAAGGGATCTGGTGTCAAGTTCAGGCTCAAGCCTTTAGATGTGTGAACTTGAATCAGTCAAGCTTCTGTGAGTTAATTTCATCATCTGTAAAAGTTATATATGTTGGTGGTGAGGTCATCATTAAAATCATAAATGAGAGATTGTATGTGAAAGGGCTCTGTAAAAGGCAAATCTATAATTTGTTCAAATCCATTGTTTTTTTTTTTTAAAAACCCAATAGCTCATAAAAGATTGTGACTTTAATCTGTTTATGTGTGATTCCATCCAAGTCCCATCTGATGATGTTGTCTTGTAACTTTCTAAGGTTTCCTTTGGTTTCCCATCAATTTGGCTTAAAAAAAAAAATCAGAACAAACAATAGGGTGGCCAGGCCTTGATTACTCAGGCTCAGGGCTCTTAAGACTGGTTGTAGCTTGTCCACGACCTATCCGGATGTACTTAGCAGAAATGCCGCTCCCATGAGACAGTTTGAACCAAATGCTGGAAATTACAGAGTTCTTAGCAGCTGAGCATATGGAATTCAAAGAAATTTCTATTTTTATCTTTTCAAACCTTTCCCCCCACTCCCTAGCTCATCATTTTAGTTTAGTGAGTGGTCACATTCCAGGATAGTGATATTGAGGGAAATGATTATTTGATCCCTTTTGAAATAGTCCTTTTTTGTGTGTGTGTGTGTGTAAAATTTTCTGTATTGGATAACAATGTGTTTTTTTCAGGACCCATCAGCTCCAAGTCAAGGAGTTGTCCTTCAGTCTAGTTGTGGAGGGTACAGCTCAGCTCCAAGTCCAGTTGCCATTTTTCAACCTATATAGTTGCGGGGGGGTGCAGCCCACCATCCCATGCAGGAATCGAACCGGCAAGCTTGTTGTTAAGAGCATGTGCTCTAATCAACTGAGCCAGCCGGCCACCCCTGAAATAGTCATTTTTTAAAGGATACAATGAAGTAGCTTGATTACATATTTAACAACACTAGATATTCTAGATTCAATCATTCATTGGATGAATATATATTGCGTACCTACTATGTGCTATTCACTGTGCTGGGCACTGGGGATACCACGGTGCCAAAGGCAGACAAAATCCTGCCTTCACACATCTTATTGTTTAGCAAGCCCTTAGACATTAAATAGATAAACTCACAAAATAGATGTACAAACCTAATGGGACAAGTGCCATGTTGAAGCAGCACAGAGCGTATTAAAAAGGTGATGGGGGGAGTCTAACTTAGATTAGAGGTCAGGGAAGGCCTCTCTAAGAAAGGTCATTTAAGCTGAGACCTGAAGGCTGGATGAGAAGTTAATCAGGCAGAGGATATAGCAAGTGCTAAGGTCCTGAGGTGGGAAAGAAACAAGGAAGACCCCTGTGGCTCGAGCTTAGTGGGGGAATAGCATGATGAGGGTGAGAAGGGAGGCACGGTCCTTGGGACTTCGTGGATGATTTTTGGATTTTATACCAAGGGGACTGCTATTTAACACTGTTAGATTTGGTTACAATAAATGAATTCGATCAGGCTGCTCTCTCTGGAGGTAGAGTTTGCCAACCCAGAAGCATTGCCAATCCCAAATAAAGTGATGTTTAAGGCTATTTTCAAAACAAGGGGTCTGCATTGTTCTTTAGAAAAAGCGAAATATACATGAAGTCATACCAGATCAATCTTCTCAGGAAGACAGGCAGAAAATGAGAGGAATTTGTTTGTACTGCATGGACTGGGGGGTGATTCAGAGGTTAGTGCCACTATGTTGACTGAAAGGAGAGCAGCCTATTGCCTGTATAAATGTCTTTTCCCAATGGCTGGATGAGAAGAAGGTCTGACCTGGGATCAGGCCTTTCGTTTTCTAAAGGCCAGCTCTCTGGTAGACAAATGATGGGAAAGTCAGAAAGGAAGGCTAGGAGGTCAAGGTCTCTGCACTCGTTTCCACATCCTGCTACATTCCGGGAGAGTTTTGCCTGATAAAGTCATAGTCCGTGTGAGCCAGAAGGGACCTCAAGGATCAAGTCACCCACCCATCATTTTATGGGGTCAGGGTACTGATGAGGACATGGACATGACAGCACACCACTCATCTCAGAAGGGTCAGCATTTTCAGTTTGGTGAAGATGATTGGAAACTGGCTGCTGAAAGCTGCATCAGATACGGAGGCTTAGGACATAAGCTTTTGTCCGGATTTGGTGCCTCGAAGGGCCTCTTACTGTGGTTCAGCCTTACAGAGACACCCAAGTGTTCACAAGGTCTTCCTCAGTTGGCTTCCAGGAGCCAAGGGTCTTCTCTAAGGGTGGGGTCGGGAAGGGGAGGGAGGCCAGAACCCTGTGGGCACTGGGAGTCTGAGTCTGTTACCACTACTCTGCTCCTGGGGGGCTTGGAATTTCCATCGAGGAAGGTCTTCTATGACAAAGTCGTGGGCTGACCCTGGGATATTAGTAATATTTTTAGTATACCTTGGTTTAGAAAATACCTAATAAAAAATTACTCTGAGGTTAGTGCTACTTCAAAATGAGTTTGTACTTCGTTCATCACAACAACATCTCTATTCACTTGAAAAATGGTCATACATCTTTGTGTGAAGCATGGTATTTATCCAATCCACATATAATGCTCAGTAGGCAGATGGATTTTGATGGCCCATTGCAGTAATCGACTGGCTTCCCCCAAGCATTGGTGGCCTGTAAATTTGGAACCACTGGTTAAGAAGCATTGGCCTGCAGAAACCCAGCCACCATTAGGGGATGACCCTAATCACAGTCAACTTCTTGGCTGGGAAGAGATGAACCAGTGTAAATAAATCCATACTACCAGATCTAAAACTGTTTTTATTACTTTTTTTGTTTTGTTTTTTTAGCTGAGTCATTTGGCAGCTCATCGGCAGCTCAATTCGGGCCGGGAATTGAACAGGCAATTCTGTCGCTCAGAGCTCGCTTTCTTGAGTGAGCTCTTCACCAACTGAACCACTCGGCTGGCCTCTATTACTTTTTTCTTTTAATGGTGAAAGTAATTCAAGCTCATTGTAAAAACCAGAAACATTACAGAAATTTGTAACTGAACACTTTGGTGTGCAGTGTTCTAATTTTGTTCTGTGCATAAATAGCATATTAATTATTAAGAGTTTTATAGAAATAGGATGTTACTGGACATAATATTCTGTGTGTGTGTGTGTGTGTGTGTGTGTGTGTGTTTAAATGCAATTGGTAATTTGTTTTGAGGAAGCAGTAAGTTTCAGTAGGAAGAACATTGGGTCTGGTTTCAGGATTTGAGTTCTAGCTCTGTAATTTCCTAGTTGGATGACTAGTAATGTATTCATATAATAGTTGGATGGGGTCCCAGGTAAGTCACAGACCTTTCTAAGCCACAGTTTCCAGGTCTCTAAAACGGGGACTGATATTTGCCCTCCTTTCTCACAAGGTTGTTATAAGGATCCAATGAGACAGTATATAGAAAAGGACTCTTAAACCATAAATATAAAGGATTGTTATTATTGACATTTATGATTTCAGTCCTCTTTCCTTTTTAAATGCTTTGATCCACATCCGTGAATACTTAACCCGGTGGTAACTTACTCAGTGGTTGCCTTGGAAGATGAGTGATAACTCTTTCCCTTTCTCCAGGTCACTCCAGGAAGCAAGGCTGCTATAGCGAATTTATGTACTGGAGATATAATCACAGCCATTGATGGGGAAAATACCAACAATATGACGCACTTGGAAGCTCAGAACAAAATCAAGGGCTGCATAGACAACATGACTCTCACGGTATCCAGGTAAGGCCTGTGGAAACGCCCATTCATTTCTGATGGACTGGAAGCTGTTTGTGGGCAGGGGCTGCCTCACCCATGTCAGAATTCCCTGCACCCCTTAGCTCCATGCTATGTATATTGTAGGCAGGGGAAAAAGTCTGTGGAATTGGAATTTCTCATTTCCTCAATAATTTTCACATGCTTCTTACAGTGTGGGTGACTTTCTCTAAGATATCTGCATTTTCACTTGATCAAAATTTTGAAGAAGTAGAATCAGTTAAATATTTTCAGGTGTAATGAAATGAAAACTCCCTGGAAACCACTGAGAAACTACTCAGGGTGCTGCTCCGCCACACTACACTGAGGAGTGGGCACTGCACCAGGAGATTACAATGACAGAGAAAGACAACAACACACTAGACAAAGCGCTAAGTGTAAGTGTAAGTATGTTAAGAAAGGAGGGCTAAATGTTCTCAACAGGTTGACAAGTGAGGAGAGCGCACTGGGAGTTGTAACTGGGGTAGAATTCCTATTCTTCTTTTGTGGAGTCTTGGAAGGGCCGGTTCAGAGCGATTTGGTTCAACCTTAATGGCTCCCTGTTTCCTGTTGGATCAGGTTCACATTCTTTATTCTGATCTCCTGTTATGTTAACCTGCTCTTTAATGTCTCATTAACCTTAGTGTCTACAGCTCTCCATCATGAGCCTTTTGCTCAGGTTCTTATCTGTGAAGTAGGCTGTCGGCTTTCTTCTACCTGGTGCCACAGAACTAGCGGAAGGACCGAGTGTGGGGCAGGATGTGAAAATATTTTGTACACTTCAGTGCCCTACCCCCGAGGGAGGGAGCCATTTTATGACCACCCCCTTGAAAACACATTTACCTCTCATTCTTGTCTCCATGTCTATCTCAGTCCAAAGCCTCTCCTTCAAGTCCTAGTTCAAGACATCCATCCATTCATTCATAGATGAATTGATTTTTTGATTCATTTACCAGAAGACTGAACACATTCACCTTGTATATATCTGGCACTGCTAGGCACTCTGACAATTCAAATATAAGGACAAATTTTCTCTACCTATAAGAGAGAAAAAAAAAACACTAATGAAAACTAAGACTAGACTGAGATTGTTGCTGTGTGATGGGTACAAAGAAATGCTTGGCAAGCTCAGAAAAGGAAGCATCACTTTGATTGGGTCCAGACAAGCTGCATGAATATGATGGTTATCTGGTCTGGATCAGGAACCCTGGGAGAGAGCGGAGAAGCTTGTTCTGTCCTGAGTGGAGGTGGGCGGCGTGAGGCGTGCTCCGGAGCAAGGAGGCCGACTGTGGCCGGGGGTCAGCGACACAGAGTGCAGTGACGGGGGACGAGGCCGGAGGAAGTCCCAGCAGCTTGGGAAGCCTCTCAGGGCTGAGCGTGGGCAACTGTCGGACATGCCATCAGATTGGTACTTTCGGAAGATCCCCCTTGGTGGCAGATTGCTAGTTCAGACGTGAGTGTCAGGCAAGAGGGGGCATTTTCCCTCTTGAGTATGAATGAAACAATAGCTTTGTCAATCTCTTACAGATCTGAACATAAAGTCTGGTCTCCTCTGGTGACAGAGGAAGGGAAACGTCATCCGTACAAGATGAACTTAGCCTCTGAGCCACAAGTAAGTGCTTCTTCACCATGGCCCCTCCTCTCACTCCCCAGCGTCTTTTCTGCTTTTCCCATAGCTTAACACACTCCCTTTATTTTTCCTGCCCTGGAGGCGTGGAGATAAAAAACGGCAAGGAGAGCCCTCCACTATCACTGCTGGGTCCTGGCACTTGTTCAGTTCTTCCCGTAAGGGAACTGGGAGAGGAAAGGGCTGGAAAACCCCAAGGCAGTGACACTGTGGCCTGGGCTGGAAGCGGGGTCGGAAGGCAATCCGGGAAGCGGGAGGAAGCCTTCCTGTGCAGAATGAGGGGGCAGGATCGTGTAAAACAAAGGCGCTGACTTGGATCATTATGGATTTCAGATGCAAGTGAATCATGCTAGGGATGAAAATAAGTTTGGGTCCCGAGGCCTAAGAGCTAGAGGAGCTAAGGGGAAATTTAATAGTAAACTCTGCTTCTCTTCCTGGTATCCCACTGTCTGGTTTCCATGATCCTTAGGGTAGAAACCTCTAGTTTTCTAATGGTGAGACTTCTAGTGAGACCTTAAAATTACTAAAATGAAATGGTAATTCATATTGAAAAATGTGGTAGGGAGTCAATGTACAATTTGTCAGTCAAATACAATTTCCTGGGACAGTAGACTGACCTAGGATCCCATATTAGTAAATAAATCTCTCAGTACTTAAGAGTATAAGTGATTTCATTTCTTGCTTCCTTAATTGCATTTTCTTTTTTTTTTTTTTTTTTAAAGATTTTTATTGGGGAATTGGGGGAAGGGGAACATACAAGTCGCTATCCCCTTGTTCTTCAGTCTAGTTGTGGAGGATGTTGCTTCACTGGCCCAAGTTGGCCCCATCATTACACTCTTCCCAGGTGAGGCAGATCAGTCGCCAGCTTCTGGACGGCCGCTCATTGCGGCTGCTGGCCGCTCATGCTGGCTGCTGGCCACACACGGTAGCCCATGGCAACCCACCTGCCGTTGCCGGAGACTCACGGCAGCCCAGCTCCAGGTTGAGCTGTTGTTCAGCATCTTAGCTATGGAGGGCAGTGTCACTGGCCCTCATATGTGGGATCCAAACTGGGGCCCTTTGGCGTCCCAAGCCAGGTCTTAACCAACACGCCACTCGGCCGACCCCTTAATTGCATTTTCTAAGTAATCTACAGTGAATGGGTATTCTTTTGAAGTGAAGGAAAAAAACTTAAAGAATATTTAGAATATCTTTGTAAAATTCCTCATGTCTGACATGCTGCTTTTCACAAAGTATGTGTCTGTTGGATAAATCAATGATGTTTTAATGATACGTTAGTAAGTAAATTGGTAATGGCTTTTGAAAACTTCTTTTAGACCAGTTTGTGATTGTTATCTGTTTAATCCCAATTAAAGATTTGGCTATTAATTTTTTTTCTAAATTTGGGACACTAGTTTTTATGGTGAATTGAGATACAATTAAGATAACATATTTCTAGCTATCTTTTGTACATAAAACAGAAACTGTATGAAATTGAACTCTCTGGGTACATTAATGTGGGTCAATCGGGTGGTTGTATTTAAGATGTATTTTCTCAAGTGGCCTCCATTAAAATGTCAGAGATCGAGTCACACAAATTTTTTTCCATTAATACAATAAAAATCATACTTAATCCTGAGAGTAACATTTAAGGATCATTTTGCATCTGACATTTCAAAACTGACATGAACATATTATTCTGTACAGCTCCTGTTAGGAAAGTTCGTAAAATGACTCTCAGTCTATAAACTGGCAGCTCTGCAAACTCATTTAAAACATGCTGTAGTTATTTCAGATTTCCCAGGGAGTTCTCAGCCACTTCATTAAATTTACCATAAATGTTATGTTTTAATGTGTTAAGCTCTCCTATGTTTTATAATATAGAAGGAATGATTTTCTTTTAATTTGGTCTATTTAAAATCCTAGTTTTCACTTGAAGAAGGTAATACTTAAATTTCGATTATACTTGAATTTTCGTCTTAAACATATAATCTGGTTTTCCGTATTCATATTTTGAAGGTAGTTCTCATCAGATTAAATCCTCAAATACTTTAACATCTAACTTGAGTGTATTTTTCTTTTGATTCCAGTAATTCTTTCTTTGTATGAAAAACGTCCCCCCTCATTTTTTCACAATCTTCCACTTCCAGTCATTCTAAAATAGAGGAACGAGGAGGAGCAGAGTTCATGTATAATTAAAAGATCTGCTAGTGCATGCACTGCCAACCAACACCCTAGCTTTATCTGAGGTCATAGCAGTTACACACCTAGTTTATATTTCCTCATTATTGAGTTTCCAGGCGACTGATAAATACAAAGCCCAAACAATTACATCATCCCTTCCAAGAGGCAGGCCCTGCATTACCCGCCTGACTTCTGGAAAGAGCAGAATTCACATGGGGCTGGAGATATTTCTTTTATGTACAAAACAGATACATTCTTGGATGATTCTCTGTAAAGTGAAAACCAGAATTTCCAACCTGAATTTTCTACTGACTTCTAGTCTCACTGGAAATGTGTTTCTATGGAGGGAGAAGGGAGTGGACACTGGCTGAATGTCTGCTGTGTGCCAGGCCCTGTGCTTGGCACACTAATATTTCACACCTAGTCCTTGTGAAAGAGGCTTTACTTATTTCATTTAGAAGATGAGACATGGGCAGAGAGAGAGAGAGAGATAACTTGCCCAAAGCTGAACAGGAAGCAACAGGGAAAACTGAGCCAAGACAGAAACGTAAGGGCTCTTCCCTGCTCAGCACCCTGTGCTGCTCCTAGGAATTGCTGTGACAAGAGAGGAGGAAAGAATTGAGTCCTGGCTGCAGTGCTGCGTCTTTCCCACAGGCTGTAGTGTAGCTGCCCATGTTCACCAAAGTCCCAGGCCACGCATCTGCTATTCTGCTGCCGTTCATGACTACATAGCATTCTGTAGGCTAGTTGTGCCATTAAATTTAATTGGCCATTTTTTGATTACTGCCAAATCTATTTTCTTAACTAATTACACTTCCCTCTTTGTGAACGACTTGCGTGTGCTTAGCTTTTGTCCAATGTGGACAAAGTCAACTCAGTGTAATTTATACAGTAAAACCTCACTGATTCCAACTTGTCGAAGAGGATGACCATCTGAAGAGTGAAAAAGAAATCTTAATCACAAGAATATTTTCATGTTGTCTTTTATTGTAAATCAGTACACAGTAAATTAAGGTGGTACTTTTCATCATAATGTTTCCAAAGAAAGTGTGAAAGACTTGAAGGTTTAGGGTAAAAAGAAAAAAGAAGAGCAACAGAAGACAGGAACTCTGGGGGGCGTGCGGGGGGCAGTCGTTTTAGGCTTGGGTGTTAAGAAAGAGGCCAGGGTTGAGGAAGATTTCTGGGGAATTCAGAAAACAGGGTGCATGTTGAGTTTAGTAGGGTCCACAGAGCATGCTGTCGCCTGGAAGCCGGGCTTGACCCAGAACGCCCTGGTAGAAAAAAAACACCTTGCTGAAGACATATTCGTTTAAAAACTTATGGCTGTTTGTAAAGAAGCTCTGAGGTATTGTAGCTGTAGTAATTATCCGTGACTCCTGGCTGGCCAGCGGGAGTGTAGGGCACTTTCTCAAATTACAGAAGGAGGGGGAATGAACAGGAAAAACCCCAAGTCCTTTCCTGCAGTGCCCCTGGTCACTGCTCCTGTAACAGGTATCCCCTGCCGTCCATCTGGTTAGCTTGGTCCTTCTCCCACAAGAAACAACAGACCCTGAATTCCCTCTGGCCCCTTCTGCGGCCATCTCGGCCTCGTCAGCCGCTGCTTCGCCCTGTGGTACACAGCCCTCTCATTTTGTTTGTCTAACCCACTCCATTCTGGGGCCTTTGTCTCCCACCTTTTATCATCTACTGCTCTGCACTGACTCAAGTGACTGCTTGTTCTCTTCCTGGTACCGTAATCCCTCTGGAATGTGCCCTGAAAGGATGTTGCAGCTCCAGCTTGGATACTGACAGCCCAAGGCATCAAGGAGTGGCCTGCCCAGGGCTCCCCATCAGGAGCTCAGTCATCACTGGGCCTCTGGGAAGTACCAGAAGGCAGAGCTTGGGTGGGGGTGGGGGAGTTGGGGAAGGTATGTCAGAGCCCTTCAGCTAAAGTTTGGTGTTGAGCCAGGGCCATTGTAGCTCATTAGGACCCCTCTCTCCCTGGTGCTCGGTCTGCACTGCCCATCAAGGGGTATACATTGGACGCCCCTGCCTTGATTTATCCTCTGATCTCTGCCCGCAGGAGGTCCTGCACATAGGAAGTGCCCACAATCGGAGTGCCATGCCCTTCACCGCCTCACCTGCCTCCAGCTCTGCCCCCAGGGTCATCACAAACCAGTACAACAACCCCTCTGGTCTCTATTCCTCTGAAAATATCTCCAACTTCAACAACGCCTTGGAGTCAAAGACAGCAGCCAGTGGACCAGAGACAAATGGCAGAGTGTAAGTAGGCCCACGTGTTCTCCAGGCCGGTCCTGGAGGGCTTTTTGCACCAGGACTAGGCTCATCTAGGCTCCAGGCGCATGAAAGAAGGTTGAGCCACTAGCCCAGGAGAAAAAGGTCTACTTTAGCTCAGTTCTTTCTGTGTCCCTTTTCCTCTTCTCTAACAAGGGGGCAATAGCGCCTGCCTTGTAGGGTTGTTCTAAAAAGAAGTAACCTGTCAAATGCCCAGTACTGTGTCTGGCACAGACTAATCAATTATTCGCCAAGACCTATGTTATTATTGTCCTGATTTCTGTGGTCATTGTCATCCTCTAAGTGACCATGCTCCTTCCCTAACAGCCCTGCTACCTCCTGAGAAATTCTTCCGTGTTTGCAGTTTGAGGTTTCTGCTTGTGTTCAACCATCTCTTCCAAACAAGAGAGAAGTACTTCATGATTGCAATTTTTGGTGAAACAGTGTTTGCTTTTCTCCCCAGAGTGGCCAGTGGAAATAATAGAAAGAAGAGAAGTCCGTGAGGCTATAAATGTGTGTCTGTAGGAACAGGTTCTGATCTGGGGACAGAGGCAGAGGCGGGTTTGCCCAGGAGAGATTGGGGGCTGCAGGTGGACAGTGTGGAGAGGTCTAAGGAAGCATCTTGCTCAGGACTAGAGAGGCCTGTCCCCTCCTGTCACTGACCATTTGACCATAGCCGCTTCTATGTCTTTATCCAAAGTATACTCTGGATCTTCTCAGGAGGGGACCCAGTGTCTGCTCCCCCTCAAACTCTTTGAAGATGAATCCAGAAACGCTCGGAATCCCACAGCTCGTGGCAAAGAACTGGATTTTAGGATGGAGAGTAAGAGATGGCTCGTTTTCTGTGGGTGAAAAGGGGATGGACTGACTAGGTGACCAATTGCCATGTCAAATGCCCAAAGGTGGCAGAGATGATAAGGACCACACGGCAGAGCTTGGAGTGCAAACAGGGCAGCAGATTGGCCCATGGCAGCTGGCCAGTGCATGCCTCGTTCAGAGGGGGAGCCACTCCTTGGCTCCAGCCAGACACCCCACGCTGGCCTAGGAGCCCCTTTTCTGCAGATTAATTTCACTGAAACAGAGTTGAAATGAAATGCCTCTTTTTATCTGAGCTTTCCTAATCTTTAAATGTTGATGACAGTCAAATTTGTTGGAAAATACTGTGGGGTCCAAACTTATCTGATCTCTGAGGATCTTTCTCACTTGGAATCTGCAGTTCTTGGGGTAGTTACCTCTGAAGCCCATTTTGCTCTCCAGTTTCTCCCGGATTCCCCTTTTAGGAGAGTCGGGCCAGCTATTAGGATGGTGAAATTGCAAACCCATTGCTTCAGATGCAGGTTATAAGTGATTAAGGCACAAGAAGTTCCAAATGACTTGAATGTTTGGAAAGGGCTGGCGTGGGGACCTCTCGAGGGCTTCTCGACCATACTGTGCAAATAGTCCCCCTCACCCGAAAAAGACACCCAGACATTATTGGGCACCCACTGCATGCAGGCCGTACCCAGCCCTGAAATATGCTGGGATTTCCTTTTAAGTTTTGTAAGAGTCTAGTAGGGGACACTTTGCTATGTGACTTTGGCTTTACAGGATGTTAAAGGTCACTGGCATTTGTTGCAGGAACCAAAACCAAGTGGCCACTAATGTGTCTTCTTTCCTCAAATTCTGATTTCTGCAGTGCCTTACTGGCTTGAGATGATGATGATGTTTTTCCAGGTACCTGAGAAAGAGCGCCATGCTAAGCCCCCCGCCCACGATTTCCACGGACATACCCCGAAGGGAAGCTTTCTCTCCAGCAGTTCAGGGGAGCTGAGTAGGTGGAAACACTGCGGGCCCCTGACCCCTGTTCTTTGGTGCTGGTGGAGGCTGAGAATGGGACCCTCTTTTACTGCCCCAGACTGGAACGTTCCATTCTCTGGACTTAATAACCCAGGAAATGACACATCCTTAATTGAAAGAGCTGCTATGCACTGGGAGAAATATGTGCCTGGGAAGTATTTTTAGTGTGACCTTGGCCATTATTCCTTCATTAATGTCTTCTTTCTTTTTCTGTCATGCTCCTCGCCTGCCCCCTCCCCTCCGTCTGAAACAGTTAAATCTGAAACTGTCTGGACACTGGGCAAACCTGTCCTCCAGCCCCTGTCCCCTCCCGTCACGGACTTCTTGGCTGCAGCAACCTCTGAGTCTTTATCAAAATTGTCCTTCCAGATTTTCTCAGCAGAGGGCCCAGGTCTTGTTCCTCCATTCCAAACTCTTTGAGGATGAACCCAGAAACAGTGGGAATACCGGCAGCCCACAGTAGAGGGATTGCTTGAAAGGGTTGTGCTGCCTGTGTGTGGGTTGGCTTACTGGCCTGTTCCTAGAGAGGCCGCTTGTGCACTCGCAGCAAAGGCGTATTCTCCCGCAAACCCAGCAGCTACTGGGCCACTAACCTTGCTTGCTCCGTCAGCAGAAGTCTCAAGCATTGGCTTTTGCTCACCCCCCCCCCCCCCACCCTGTTTGAGTCTGAAATCTGCTGAGGTTCCAGAATTGGCTCACTTCATACTTTGCCTCTGAGGTCATCACTGACGCCTTGGGGCTCACTCTGCGTTTCTTTGTCCTGTGCATTTCAAAGCAGCCTGGGTGTGTGTGTGTGTGTGTGTGTGTGTGTGTGTGTGTGTGTGTGTGCATGCACACGTGCGTTTCTGTCTGTGTCTGTCTGTCTGCCTGACTGCCTGTCTTGTAGGAGTTCCCCAGGGCCTTGTTCTCATCAGACAAGAACACAGACAGTGTTGTCATTTCCTAATTTAACTGGGAAGGCAGGCGAGAGGGTGTTATCTGCCCCCTGTTTTCCCAGCACACACACAACTGAGTGGGAGGGAGGGCCTTTGGGTTAGTTCAGCTTAACAGTCATTTATTGAGTGCCTACTGTGTACCAGGTGGGTAGAGGAAATGTTGCTCTGTTCAACACTAAGCTTTCACCTGCCCTGTGACCTCTTTCAACTGAGTTTAGGGTCTCTGGTCATTTTCTGGTGATTTGGGGCTTGGATTTCATCATATATGTGATGCTGCTTGATACTTTCCTAACAGTATAGGCTTCATAGATAGAAGGGCCTGAGCTTGAATTCCAACTGCCTTTTTCTAGCCGTGTGATCTTGGGCAAATCAGGAAACAACTCTAAAACTCAGTTTTCTTATCATGAAGTACAGATACTACCTTACCACTAAGTTATTGAAAGAATGAAATGAGATGTGTAAAAAGCACCCAGCATGGTGCCTGGCCCCTGATAGGTACTCAGTAAATGCCAGTTACTACTGATTTTACCGCCCACGAGGAGCTTCACACCCATCACTTCAGAGTACCAGGGATTTCCCCTAAGAGGACGGAGCATGTAGGCAGACGTCCTGGAGAAGATTTTGCTGTGACTTAGGGTAACGTTCTTTCTTTCCCAGCATTGGGTTAAGGTCAGCCAACCAGTGCAGTTAATCACCTCCCTGATGTAGTGGTGGTCTCTTCGTGGAATAGTCAGTAGGCTCCCAACACAATAGTCCCAAGATACTGGTTCTTCTAAGTTGTGTTCTTAGGCAATCCCCCCCTATACTCATGAGGCAGATTTCTAAGCAGGTGCAGTGGAAATCAAGAGATGCATTGTTCTATTCAAATGATGTGAGGGATTATGTGAAGCCTGACTCATTCAGAACTGGATCAGAAGAAAACCTCCATCGTGAAGGTGGCTGCTTGCCTCTTCTCGCTAACCTTGCCCACAGCCCACAGAGAACTGGCTCTGGATTTGGGTGTTCCTCCCTCTTCTCCTGGGGCCCATAATTACTCCTCTGGTTTCTTATTACAGGCCCAACCTCTAGGCCTTTGAACACGAAAACTTAGGGAGCATTCTGGTCAGGCCCCCCTTCTACAAATGATTATGTAGCATTATTCCGAGTTGCATTTTTTTGTGAACATTAGGGTAACGCGGTTGGAGCAGCTTAGACATGAAGGATTTTTCTGAGTCAGCCTACATAAAAAATCAGGTACTAAAATCTCTTCTACATGGTTTTCAGTTAGCGCTTAACTTCCAGCATTTGGGGAAAGGATTTCTTAACGTTAATTAAACATATTATTTTGAGGTAATTGTAGCTTCACTTGTAGTTGTAGGAAAGAATTGAGAGATCCATACGTCCAGTTTCCCTCCATGGTAACATCTCGAAAACTGTAGCACAATATCAAAACTAGAATATTGACCTAATATGGTCAAGACACAGCCGTTTCCGTCTCCACCAAGACCCCTCAGGTTGCCCTTTTATGGCCACACCCACTTTCCTCCTATCCCTGCACCCTCCTTAACCCCTGGCACTCACTAATCTGCTCTCCATTTCTATAATTTTGTTATTTCAAGAGTTTTATATTAATGGAATCATACAGTACGTAACTTTCTGGGATTGGCCTTTTTTTTGGTCGGTATAATTCACTGGAGATTTATTTGATTTACTGTGATTTTTTAATGTATCACTAGTTCCTTTTTCTGTTCTAAGGGTTTATCTTTTTTTACTGTGGTAAAAAATACATTAAAAAAATATAGTTTTAACCATTTTTAAGTGTACAATACTGTAATTGTAACAACACACACATTGTTGTCCAACAGATCTCTAGAACTTTTTCATCTTGTAAATAAAACTAAAACTATACCCATTGTACAACTCCCCTTTTCCCCGTCTCCCAGCCCCTGGCAACCACCATTCTACTTTCTAAGAGTGACTACTTAACTACTGTAGACGCTACCTCATATGAGTGGAATATACAGTGTTTGTCTTTTTGTGACTGGTTTATTTCACTTAGCATAATGTTCTCAAGGTTCATTCATGTTGCAGCATGTGACAGGATTTCTTTTTTTTAAGACTGAATAATATTCCATTGCCTGTATCATTTTCTTTCTTTCTTTTTTTTTAACCTTCCCTTTTTTCTTTTTTTTTCTTTTTAAAGATTTTTATTGGGGAATTGGGGGGATGGGAACAGTG